TTTATGTTTTTGTAAAATCTTCCAAGATTCACTCTTTAAAAGAAAGACAGTGTTGCGGAGTCAAATTCAATTTTTTTGCCAAAGAAAAATGAGAAACATGCAATTGGGAAGTGTTTTAATGGTATAGCTTAGTGGTCCGCATGAGCCACGTGTCATTCAAGTATCCCATTCTGCCCCTCCTTTAGTTCAATTGTGCGATTGAACGTGATTAAATGGGAATCCAAGAAATAATGGCTAGTGTCTGTGTAGCTTTCAGCTCCATACATCGTTCTGGTAAAATCTAAAAAATTCTTACGTACTTTAAACCCCTAAAAAAATGTTGTTCCCTATTTTATTAACGCCAGTCCTTCTGAAAGAAACCTACAGTTGCGGTCAAGAGTATTCGCCGAGACGGTTTTTCAAGCATAAAATTTTTTCTTTGAACAAGTCTTCCAATTTTTTCGAAGAATTTTCTTTCGCATGGCTTGAATCCTTAGAACTTAAGGGTTCGAAACTACTAGGAAACACAAGACATTAACACTGAAAGGAAAATAGTTAGGTGAGAAAAAAAAACCTATGAAAAACCGCTTCGGCAAACACTTTTGACCGCTACCGTACATCGCAGATTTTTCACCGTTAATCTCTGTAAAACTACATTCACGGCCTATTCAGCCGGTAGGCGACGTTCCTGTTTTGAGCAGTCCTCGACGGACGCGTCACTCGCGCCATGAGATCGAACAGGCTAGGCCATCGTTTGCGTAAAATTTTTTGAAGTTTACATTTTAGAAGCAGAGGACTGCGCAAAGGAGCGTAATGAGCTTTCAAATCCAAGCAATTTTTGAGTAGCGGGGTGATTAATTTTGATAGCCTGAAGCCGAAGATCACGAGTTTTTCTTGAAAAGGGGGCGCTTGCTCGCTTATATTTTTTTGCTATTCTGCTTATCTGTTTCCTAAGACACCAATGTGAAGGTTATCTTCCTATGATTTCTATGTATTGAATTTTTCATATAAGTTTAGTCATTTTTAGTTTCAAGCTCTTTAAAACTTGTTCCAATTTTTTTGTAGCTTATAGTTCCCAGTTTTTTGTTGACTTACCCATTGTCGTATTTTAGGTATCCAATTCTATCCGTGATCGCCTACACTGGCTTGGCCGTTCTTGCTGGTACCGTTGGATTCCGTGTGTTCAAAACGATCGAAGCTCAGGTGAAGAAGACCAATGGAGAAAATCCGTTCCAGTGAGTTTTTTCTAGAGTCTAGCATTATTGCTGACGTGAGAGCTCTTGTTTGTGCAATCGATTCACTCGATTTCAGGGAATATCTCGCCAAGGATGTGCAACTGCCCTCAAGAGCGAATTCATGCTCAGGTTGACGTGCTCGCGGAACATGGCACAGCTCTTTTCAACCAGCTGAAGAGGCTTGTCTTTGTCGACAACATCGTTGACAGTGTTAAGGTGGGTTCGTTTCACAATGGTCCTATCAAGCATACAAAGTTATCAGAAGTTGTTAATTGAACTGGCACCGGTACTATTTTCCGCATCCGATTCATCATAGTTTTTTTTTGTCGCTCCACTTGTTCCTCCTGGGTTGAACTTGACTTTGGATCGACACGTCGACACTTCGTTGTGATTTTGAATGGAAATAGAATGCGTGGCGCATATAACCGTCAAAGGCAGACAACTTTATGCTTTATCTCTCTATGTGCAGTGCGGAAAAACAACGAACTTTCATCTTTACTAAAATTTGTTAAGGTAATATACAATTGAGCTGTCACGAATACGGTAATGTAGTAGTAGGATAAGGATTTTCATGGCTATCAATAATTGCGAGCCAAGAAAACTCCCTGGGTCACACGTGAATGAGTTTTCCGTAAATTTTTTTAACAGCTTTGTTGTCTTGCCTTCCAAGATTCAAAGGGTATTTTAATATTTCTAGAAGTACTCCCAGGATGTTCAGGGTTGCAGGAATGTAGTAAGAATCTGATCAACAATAAATATATTGATCAATGAATATATCGATTAGTAGAAATCCATTGTTGTTTGTCTTGATCCTGTTCCTGGCGCTCTTTTTTCGTGGCTTTTCCACTTATGTGAATGGTTTTCAACCTGATGATCTCTTGAACCTTCGGTATATTGCTGCCATCCTACGTGGGGTCGTTTCATCGAACTTCAACCTTCTCTCCACGTCGCTCTACCACAGTATATGTGATTTGTTAGATAGAATTCCTTTATTTGTCTTGGTCGTTTTGGGCGTTCCTGTTTCATAGCTTCCCTTATGGAATGGTTTTCAACAATGGATTTCTTGAACCTCAGGTTAGTGCTTCACCTTACTGGTTGGTGTCGTTTCATCATTAACTCACCTTCTCTCCCTTTTTCTTGCCTTTGTTCTTTCTTATGCTGGCTTGCGCAAACCGTGTATAGACGTGAGAATCTTTCAGTGTCTGTACTCTCGAAAAGGCGTATGCGTTTTGACTGTCGCATTCCTAAGATTGTGCCCTAGCTGACTCGATTCTGTTTGACTTTATTTTTACAGGGCTTTTAGTCTGCAGGGACATCGCGGTGTTGTCTCTCTGACCTAAGGTTCGACTTCTGCTGGGTGTTATACGTATACAACTGATTCGCTAAAGAGGACACGGAGGGAGAGGCGGGGACATGTTTCATTCGGCAACCTCTTATTTCTACTTTGAACGGTATTAGCTTGCAGTAATGTCCACGTTCGACTCTCGGTAAATCTCAGCATTGCGAGAATACTTTCAGTAGGATATTATCGGTCTTTTATTCGGCTAACGTTTTATGGCCGAAACGTTGGCCCAAGGTTGGTATGTATCGTGGTGGTTGCGCGCTCAAAACTCATGGAAATATTAGATTTACATTCCAGCTTGCATTCTTTAGAAAAGTTGTTGCATTTTTCTTTTTGAATCGTTCAAATTTGTCGTCGGGTGAACGTTCATCTTTGACTACACGAAATATGACAAGAAATGTCTACGTTCGTTGCTCTTCTAGGCGGAGACCGGGCAGTTAATGTGGGGCGTTACATTCTGACTTTCGTCCGTCTGCAAGAAGCACTGAATGGCTGAACCATGGGATTACTACCTCACATCCAAACATTTAGTACCTCTCGCTTTAAAAGTGATATCGTGAAGCGTGGACCTAAGCGGAGCGAGAATAATGATCGATTATATTCAGCAGATAGCTTTTGCATTTTTAATTTGTTTTCAGGTTCGCTTTGATTTGTGGGCGTTGAGCGACATCGGTTGTGTTTCTTGGATTTGCCATTGTGCAGTTTGGCGTGAGTATATTTTGCACAGCCTTTTTTTTTCGTTTTTTCACCCCTGCTCCAATCATTTATTTTAGTTTAACCCTAATCAATCTTTATGGTCATGTGATGAATAACCTTATTCTAGCTGTTCTTGGTGCGTTCTCAATCCCGAAGATCTACGAGATGTATCAGGAGCCGATTCGATAAGCAATTGGCAATGATTTCGAGACATAGCAAAGCTTTTCAGTATGTTGGTTACACACGCCGTCAGCTATGTATTGTCGCGGTATATGCTGTTTGAACCGGCAGCATGTGTGTCTGCAGTGGCAGACTTTGCACATGATGCGCGATTAAAGGTAATCATTAGCCTCAACAGACCTTTGATTGTGTCTCGAGGGCCTGCACTATTGTTTACAGCTTCGCAGTAGAAAAAATGCCGCGTGTGATTTTTTGGGCTATTGGTTATTTTATTCCACGCCTATGCCACGCTTATGTTGCTGTTCAACATAAAGACAGCATGGAATACATACCCTCCCCTTCAAAAAGCCAGAAAGTGTCGGGTGCAGACCATACACCACAAGTGACGACGGCCTCCACAAAATGCAAATGTTTTCTGCCAATGAAATGATTAACCTGTTGCAGTTGTATTCTATCAGTTGTCACTAATTACAACTATCATTTACCAAAAATCAGCTATCACTATGAACCACTACTAACCAGATTTACTTGGAGGCCGTCGTCACTTGTGGTGTATGGTCTGCACCCGACACTTTCTGGCTTTTTGAAGGGAGGGTATGCCCCACATTTTCACAAGGAGGAAGCTGGTTTTGCTTACTTATGCCTCCATTTTTATGTTGCAAAACTGTCGATTTTCATTATCGGGTACAAAAATAGTGCACTCATTATGAGAAACGAAACTTTTGTGGAAATAGCAACTGGGTGCATGTCAGCAGGTACCCGACAGGAAGGCCCGTCGCGCGGCAAGAAGGCAGAGTCGGCGGACGAGTCGCAGCGCGTGGTGTGCGATGTAGGACGTAATGGACATTCTATTTCAACTTGACGCGAAATCACTACAGTACGCGCTGCGACTCGTCCGCTGACTCTGCCTTCTTGCCGCGCGACGGGCCTCCTGTCGGTACCCTATGTCAGCTAGCCGCGCGCTACAGGTCGTGGTTGCGACGTCGCGACTGCAGCGGACGAATTTCTGTGCGCGTCATTTATTTCAATTTCGAATGGAAGCCAAGCTTACCCGGCCCTTCAGGGTGTATGGCAAAAGAATCGTCGCTCCATCTGTTGAAAGGTGAAGGTAGCACGTCCCAGAATCGCTTCGCTTCGTCAAATTCAAAAATTGCCGCGCCCATCGAGAAGGTGCCGCGTTGCGACGCCGCGCAAGTGGCCGCGCGCGGCCACGCCATTCTTGGACGATTCTGTTGGCCCCTCCCCAGTAACTGTTTATCCAAATTTGTAAAAAAAAAGGGTGGTGTGTCATCAACGTGTTAAAGAAGGATGTGATCTCCGGCTACACACATGAACAGCTATTTCTTTTTCAGGGCAGAAGATAAGCTGCCATTCTTGAAGAAGGCCGAGGTTCAAGTTGAGAAGAAGGATCAGTAAGGAGTTGGTCAGATGGTGATCGAGTCTTCCATTCTCGTCGTTTCTCACCACGTTCTGACCTCGCCGTCGTCTCTTCCACCATAGCAACCAATCGGCAATTTTCAAAATCGATATTTTCGCTCTTCCAAGGAATACTGTTTTATAATAATGGCTATTTCACACTCGTCACCAACTGTATGGCTATGTCAGTGCGAATTGTGTCTTGCTTCTGGTTCTCCTCGTAGCGATCCGTTTAAGCGACATGGTGGTGGCCAGCTGTTCGCACCCACTCTTCCTTCTCGTTGTATCCGATGCGAATTCAAAGGAACCCGTTCAGGCTTGTAAGCGTGTCTTGCTTTTGTATTTGGCGTTGTATCACTGTATTTTCTTCATCCTGTTTTTCTAGTTCTTACATATTCGCTATAAATGTGAGTTTTATTTGCGTTACCCCGTCCGTTCATGAGTGTGCATGGTTCAGGCTAAGAAGCATGCTCGCGCTTAAGTTCATGTTACTGTATTGTTCTGTCTTTAATCATGCTAGTGAGTTTCTCGTAAACATTTTTAATCACGGTTATTGAAATAAAAGTCTTCATTAGGTGTAACCACGGAATGAGCTGGAAAAGAAGATTTTTTCAAAGGTTTTTGTTAAGAGTCAACCGTCCTGCTGGCCGAGCCAGACGGGGTTGTTGTAGGGGTTGACACGAAGGTATAAGGTTGTTCGGAAAGTAAGTGCGGGTTTCAAGATGCCGTGCTGCTGAAGTATTTTAGACTGAATTTTCATTCGACCCCTAAAGCCCTATACAGTACAGTTGAATTTCATTATGACTTGCTATCTTGGGGTTTCTATAGAATTGAAGTGAAGGTGTCAAAACTATGGTTGCGGCAAGTTTACTTCGACGTGCTGAAACCCTGGAATAGTGCTCTAGTGCTGGAATAGACCTGTCGAAATAACACTGAAGGATGGGGCCAAGGAAGCACTACTAAAAGTGCAGCACTGCACTGGCTTCGGCTTCCTTTTGGTTTTGAATAGGTCCAACAGGAACGTCACGAACGAAAGTCATGAGTAGCCACTGCTGTTGACGATGGCCTTCTGAAGAAACTCGAAGTAGATGATTCCGGACTAACTGTGTTATAGCAAGCATGAGGACTCGAAGTGAGCGATCAGAGTAACTATATGTTTGAAAGCGGACTCTCTGACGAATCTTTAAAAAAGACCTTGCGAGGCGGATATTATGAAGAATACAAAGTGAAGCTGAACATATTGACCGTTTTCACAGGACCGATTGTACCCAACACTTGAGGACGTGTTAAATTTCCACAAACCGCAGTGGCTCTGCAACTAACAGTATAATGAATGATGCGCTCTAGACATGCAAACTTCTTCAACAGAGAGAAATAAAACAACACTCCTTCATGGCAGCGCTCAGGCCACATGTCTCATAAACGACCTAGCAGGAATTGGACAAACTGGCTGGTGTGCGAAGATCCGCTCAACACGTGGTACTCACTGAGCCCCCCATCACCAATACCACTTTTCTCTAACGATCTTGACATATTCTTGAGTAAGGAATGCTTCAGTGTTCAAATTGATTGGAAACGATGCTCAATGATTTCACCGTCTTCAGAAGCGTCATTTTCACAAGGGTGGGATAACTTAGGCGCATCTTGTTAAGAAAAGTAAATACTTTCCAAGGGTTTTTGTTGCTATTGAAAGTGTTGAGTATGATTGGAAATATGCCTCTTCAAAAATAAATGTCGAAAACTTGCATTACTTTCCGAACAACCTAGTAATACGTTGGGAAGGGGTATGTTTTGTGGGAAGTTCAGCAGATCGATTGGTTGCGGAGAGCGAGGAATCGTATTAACCTTCCGGCGCCTTAGCGGTGGATTGCCACCGCTAAACCTATATCTGCATTTACCCATGCAACTAGCTATTTTTCTGATTCTGCTAAAGGTTCCTTTAGTCAACCTTTCTCTTTTTTATTATGCGATAAACCCGTCTTATGATTGTGTGCAGTATATATAAGTATCCTACTATATATAAGCGGCTAGCGTGTGTCTGTGTGTGTGTGTGTGTGTGTTTGACCGGAAATTCATAGCTCGAGTCACAGTAATGATAGCGCAGTGGTTCTTACATATGTTATAGGGGGTGGGATGGGGACACAAGTGGTACGTGATAGGAACTGATAACGACTGATAATAGCTGATAAGAGGGGCTAGAAAGCGAGCATCGCCAATTTCGTTTTGTCGTTCATATTGGTACTAGAGCGTCTATACTTACAAGTGTTATGTGGGGCGGTCCCGGGACATTGGTGGTACATGATTGGGAAGCGATAGCAACTGATAAGGGCTGATAAGGGGCGCAGAACGCAAAAGTCGTCGATTCCGTTACGCAGCTTGACGGGGACATTGTTGGTGGGTGATAGAAAGTGGTTACAACTGATAAGGGCTGATAAGGGGCGTCAGAACGCAAAAGTCGTCGATTCCATTACCCAGCTCGCGTTGACACCAGAGCAACCATACTCACAAGTGTTATGTGGGATGGGACGGGGACATTGTTGGTGGGTGATTGAAAGTGATTACAACTGATAAGGGCTGATAAGGGGCGTCAGAACGCAAAAGTCGTCAATTCCGTTACCTAGCTCGCATGACACGAGAAGCAATATACTCGCAAGTGTATATGGTGGATGGGGCGGGGATTGGTTAGTAGGGATTGAAAGTCATTGCATGCTGGATAAAGGTTATAAGGGACTGTCAGCAGACGCAGAAGTCGTTCGATGTCCGTTGACCTAGCTTGCGCCTGGCATTGAAGGGCCTTGAGTTCGACTTGACAAATTCGTATTTGGGGTAGTGGTACGTGCATTGTAAGATTGTATGACTCTGGTTATTGTACAGTCGATTGCTATTAAAACATCATCAAGTCTTCAACAAATGTATAATTTCGAGTAGGTTCCTAGGTATAAGAAGCCAAATCTAGCTGACCGCTAACCTTTCGGGGTCTAAATAATGGTGAATGTGAATAAATTGATAAGCATTAGCTCCTCACTTATGTAAATAGGCATATTTCATTCTCCTTTTTGAAACTGACAGCAAAAGATTCACCGCTAAATTATCCGAATTCAAGAAGAATGTGGATGTTTACAGTTGTGATTACATACCAGTTCAGCTCCAGACGTTATCACGCGTATTCTCGATGGACTTCAGCGAAACTGGGAAAGGTCTAACACATTCAATAGTGAGGTGGCTAATGGAGGTACCTCATGCTGATATTCCATGGGTCTTTCAGTTTCACTAAAGCCTGCCGTGTGATGCGCGCGATAGCGGGCGGAGCAAAACTGGTTGTGTATATAAATGCAACAATGAATCGACGCTGGTCCCCGCAACCTGCCAAGTAAGTGTCACTTTTTCCTAAAATACTTGAAGTAGATCCATTCTTTAATCAAAATTATGGGTTATAATGTTGTGCAAGATTATAAACTTTTTCGGCATAACTATGAAATTTGGAATTGTTTCGACATAAGCTCAAAAACTAAGAAGGTGGGCCAATTTTCAAAGCTTCTTAGTTTCTTTGTTTGTGATCGAATAGCTTCCAAATTTCGCCATAATGATATTTA